CGTGGAGAGGAGCATTACAAGGCGCGCACAGCAGCCGGAAATAGCCTTGTCATGGCCACGCCCCATCCTTACGCAGGTCCCTCAGTGGGACAAATGCTGGCCATTTTGTGAGGATTGCTGCATTGAAGCCTGGATTCCTAAGATGTTGGGAGCTGCACAAATTCTGAGCCAGAACCTCGTCTGCAGACGTGCTGCCCTGTGCAGGACACCGGTGCGCCCTGGTGCACAGTAGACTTGGAAGCTGGGAAGTCTGGCTGACGCCCATCACTGAGGACTCTGATTTTACTCCCATCTTTGACCCCCAGATTTCTGGGTGACCTTGGACCATGCTTCAAGTTCTACATCTAGAATGTGATGTAGGTCTTTGCTCATTGTCGGCCTTCCATTGGAATAGAAACAAAGTCTTGGCCTATCTGGTTACTGCTGTCTTCCCGGGGCTTAGAGCAGTGACTGGCCCAGAGCAGGCCCTCAGTATTTGTTGAACAAACAAACAAATCCTGTTTTACACTTGTTGCCCATTGCCTTCGTGGCCCTTACTTTCTCCTGGGGAGATGCGGGTGGGTATCACATGGCACAGGTGGAACAACGAGATGACAGGGTAAGACCGGCAGAGCCAGGAGCTGAACTGTGGCCAAGGGACTAGGTTGGGCAGGAGCCTCTGCGTCTGCTGGGCAAAGGTCAGGTTGGCACAGGGTGAGGGCTGGATCAGTGTGGAGGAGCAGGAAACATTCTAGGTTGTCTAAGGACTCGGGGAAAACTACTTGTTTTGAAATCTAACTGAATTCAGTCTTAGCTGACATCAAAGGCATGACCAAGGCCATTTGTAGCAGATTCTCCCCAGGTCTGGCTTAGGGGTGGTCCTCAGGGTCTGGAAATGTTGAGCCACGTCTCATTGTTCATGGTCTAAAGCCCCGAAGCCACCTCCTCCCGGCTTGGGCAGGTGACTTAGGAGTGGCCCAAATCAGAGGAAGCCTCCGGAGCCTTGTGACCCCTCTCTGGGTAGTGAGAAAAGCCCTCATCAGTCATCACATTAAGTCTCGTGTAAAGGTGTCCGGGACAGGAGTGGCCCCTGAGCTCAGGTGAGAGGTGACGTGCTTACTTGAGAGCTGAAGTCAGTGGGCAAAAAGGCACAGGTACATCACCAGCCACATGGTGGAGCCCTCGGCACTGTCCAGGCTGCTTCATCACTGTCCTGCACACACGGTGACCACTGTGCCTGGGTTAGCAGGTATTCGGGTAGAGGCTGCTGGGCAGTAGCCAGTGAGGTCTGTCGCCTGTGCCCCAGGTGGGGGTAGGGGCCCGTTCAATGTGCTCCCATAGACTGCAGTGTGTGTGGCTGCTGTTTGCGATACAAGAAAAGGCCCACATGACTGAAGCACAAGAGGCACAGGTATCCTTCAAGCATACAGAGGGTAGCCCAGGCCTGTGTCCTCTGACGAACGGGGTCTATGCCTCCCGGAGAATGCAGCTGCACAGCATCTGGCAGCAACGACAGCCATCTTATTTTCTAAGAAACAAAAACCCAAAGCACATAACTGAGGCAAATACTCAGTCTTTCAAGATCTATGATCTCTCAATTTAGCTGTTTACTTTAAATCAAATCACAAATGAATGACCAAATTTGGATTTGATTATGTGCCTATAAAGATAACCAAAGAGGCAACATAACTCACTCTGTCAAACTCTTTTCAGACAATGGCTGGCATTACAACACGCCAATTACATTTTTATCAGGCAGTTAAGTTAATTACCTGTGGTAAATGTGTTCATGCGACAAGTGGAGATGGCTGTCAACATTTGCTGACAGCTTTAAAATGCTGCCTGGGGTATGGGAGGAATCAAGGTACAGGACCATGCACAGGTAGTTACACCTATGGTGTCATATAAAAGAGTTTGCAGGCTGAAACCGGTGCCTTTTTTCCACCACAAGATGGCTCTGCATGGTTTCTTCTCAGAAGCAACATGGGCTCCAGGGTTATTTCTGCTTAAAACTTCCACTGTTATTTCTGCTGCTTTGTGAAGGACCGGAGTCCTGAGCAGGCGGCGAAGCTGTGACTTCAGCCTCCCTTTCTGGGGAGTGAAAGCCTCTCCTCTGCCCCCCACAGGCCCCCGGTGCCCTTGGCTGCCCTCCATGCCAGGTAACAGCAGCATCTGGTGCCTGCACCCTGGCAGGGCCTGGCCTGCTTTGTTCATTGGTCGGCTTCCCAGTGCTGAGAGCAGGGCCTGCACCACCTTGGAAAATTCTGGGTCTGCTCCATTCCCTGAGAGTGCCTTGGAAAACCACAGGCAGAATCAGTGTAGGCTGCATGCTGTGCCAGCCTCCAAATGAGGGTGCTGCCCTGCCTTTAATTCCCCCCCCCCCCCCCATATGCAACTGTGGCAAATCTTCATATAATTTCTAATATTTGTCTTAGCTGACACAGCACGTGCCAAAGACACGAGGCTTCCTTACCTGTGTGAAGGAATAATAATGTCTTCCTTAAACATTTAGCGGGGGGAATAAATGAGGATTAAACAAGTACTTTGTATAGAAATAGGCCAAAAATTACCCTAAAATAATTGAGAAGAAAAGGGTATGTGTGGCAGGGGTGGGGGAGAGGGGGGTTTTCAAAGTCAATTTACAGAAACTTGTGAAGCATGAGAGAAAATTTAAAACTCCATTGGAATTCCAGAAAGCGATAATTAAGTCTTTTGTTTAAGCCCAAAATTAATGTTTCATGTGGACCAGTAAATGTTTGACTGAAATTCCTTACAAACTTCCACTGTTATTTCTGCTGCTTCATTGCAGCGGTAGGAAAGGTACTGATGCAGTCAAGAAATATTTATTGGCGCCTGCCATGTGCCCGGCTCTGCCCTAGGTGCTGGGGAACCAGTGGTGACTAGGAGACATGGAGCCTACCCTTCAGAGCTTGCAAAGAGCTGCTGTGGGAGGTCAGTTTGACAATCGTGCAGAGTGCTGTGAGGAGGGAGGTGCAGAGTCTGGTGGGGTATGGAGTAGGCCCTTTGGCCAGCTGGAACACGTCTGTCAATGTCAAGCTCTTTGGAGGAATTGACCCCTAAGCTATCACCTGATAGTTGACATTTGCTGCTTGTGAGGGACAGCAGGGTACAAGAAGGATAGAGTGGTACAAACCAGGTGGGGAGGATGTGGGAAGTCTGAGGGAAATGAGAGAGGGCAGTGAAGGGAGCTCAGAGGGTGGATGGATGGATGGATAGATGGATGGAAGTGAGAAAGGAGGCTGGGAGGTAATGCTGTCTTCGCTGAGGCTTTGCGAGGCACCTGTAGGTGGAGCTTTATCCCAAAGGCTATGGGACACCCTGAAATCCCTGATTTTGAGAAGGATCCCTTAAACTAGGGGTGTCGAACTCAATCAGAGAAGGGGCCAAAATCTAAAATCCAGCCTAAATCGCGGGCCGAATGGTTTACTGAACAGTCATAAACTGTCATTGTGATGGAAACACAGCGGAGTGCAGTGATGACAGCGCGGTGCGGGCCACATTGCAAGGCCTGGCAGGACGGATTTGGCCCGCGGGCCTTGTGTTTGACACATGTGCCTTAAACCATAGTATGGAGAAAATATTTCGGAAGGTGAGTCTGGTTGTGGGATGCACCTAGAGATCAGGTGAGATGATAGCACACTGAGATTGGGGCAGAGGGGCTGAAGAGGCATGGATGGATTCTACCCTAAAATAAACCAAGAAGCCACGATGAGTGGACAGCCACAAACCAAAAATCATCCAGTGGGTCTAAGCACTGGATGATTCCAAAGGCCCATGTAGGGACATTCAAAGAACAGATGTAGATGCTGAGAGGGTGAGAAATCTTCTCCCAATACACCTGGGAGTAAGGACAGAGATACAGGGACCTCTCCTAATTGGGCAATTAGATAATCAGTAACTCCTAGAGGCTCCTTGAAGGATGTTGGTGGGGATTTTGTTGAGAAACTAGAGGCCCAGTGCATGAAATTCACGCACAGGGGGGTGTCCCTCAGCCCGGCCTGCACCCTCTTCAATCTGGGACCCATTGGGTGATGTCTGACTGCTGGTTTAGGTCCTATCCTACCACAGGACAATGGCCTTATATAAACCAGCAGTTGGACATCCCTCTCGAAATCCAGGACCACTGGTTCCTAACCACTCACCTGTCTGCCTGCCTAATGCCCCCAACTGCCCTTCCCTGCTGGCCTGGTCACCCCCAATGGCCCTCCCGTGCTGGCCTGGTTGCCACCATGGCCCTCCACTGCCGGCCTGATGACCCCCAACTGCCCTCCTCTGCTGGCCTGATCTCGCTCCTAACTGCTCTCCCCTGCAGGCCTTATCACCCCTAACTGCCTATGCCTTGGCCCCCACCACCATGGCTTTGTCTGAAAGGAAGTCAGATGTCTGGAAGATGGCCGATCGGCCCCAGTCTAATTGCATATTACTTTTTTATTAGTATAGATAGTGCCCCTAGTGCACAGATTTGTGCACATTGAAAGAAAATTAATTAGAAGGTGGCCAGTGGGGTGGGACTGAGCAAGATAGGTTGGACGTGCTCTGGAGCCAACCTCCCACAGTACCTCTTCTAAGAAAATGGAAATCCCAATATTTCATATTATAGCATATCCCATCACTTTTGCCATATTCTATTAGTTAGAAGCAGTTTACAGGTCCAGTTCATACCCAAGGAAAGGAGTAATTACACAAGGACATGAATATCAGGAAACGGTGATTATTGGGGGCTATCCTTGAAGTTTGTCAGTCACAACTATAGTTTAGGAATGAAAGGCATAAGCCAGAAGCAAGTGTGTGTGGGGGAATAAAGGCCACTATTTTTGATTATTTATTATGTGCTATGCATCTCACATGAATTAATTGCCTCATATAACTCTCACAACAACTCTGTGGCATAGGTATCATCCCCTTTACACAGACTAAGTTTAGAGGGACTAAATAATTGTTTCCTTGTCAAAAGTAAATGGTAGAGTGGGATGAAGAAATATGTGTGTGTGTGTGAGAGAGAGAGAGAGAAAGAGAGAGAGAGAGAGAGAGAGAGAGAGAGAGAGAGAGGGAGGTAGCCAAATGGAGATGGTGATATTGACTTACAAATTATGTGGTGTTTGAGGTCACTGCATGATGTGCAAATAGAAATAAAAATCTACTCATCATTTAGAAATGTAGCACTGGGAAAACAGATTGAAGAGTAAACTGCAAAGAGGAAAGAGGTAGAGCCATGGATCAGTTCACAGGAAAGAAAAAGAGGGGAAAAAGTCCTGGCCTAGATCCTATAAGCGGCTTTACAAGCATAGTTGTTGGGAAAACTAAAAGTTGGTGGTAAAAGTGCCAGCACAGGGGGTAGAGATGAAGTATAATCTCATTCATTCAAAAAATGACTGTAACAGGTGGGTATTAACAGTCGAGTATAAAGGTGAGAAAAGATGCAACACAAGGGAAACTATTTAAGACTTCCAGGGCTGTAGGAGGAATGTGTGTGGACTTGTATCCTGGAGGGGCTGGAGTGGCCAATGAGAGCAACAAGTGGGCACATGTCCCAGACACCCTCTCAGTCCTCGTGTGACAGGCGTTATTAACATCAACTCCACTTTGTTTTTTAATTTTTTATTTTTATCAGAATTGTGTTTTTATTACAAGCACTCTCTATTAACACAGAAGAAAGTAGAATGCATGGAACAGATTACAAGGCAGTTCATCATTTATCTTTGGCTATACGCATTACAAGTGATTTTGAAGAAGGTCCAAGGCAGAAATAGGGCATAAGTTTTTCTGTAAAACTTTCGCTGACAGTATACAAATGTGATCTCTTTCTTAAGTTATAAAATGAAACTTCTCCCAGCTCATAGTCCAGAAAAATGCCTATCGGTCCCCAGTTGACTGAACGGCATGTGACAGATGTATCAGCCCAGAGCTGAAGTTTCCAGCAGCCATTCACTGGGAATGGTGACATCAGAGCATCCCTGGGCAAAGATTCCCTACACACGCCCAAGGACCACATCCCTGTGCCTCCTACTTCTACCTGCCAAAAATGCCTGCCAGCGTCAAACCCCTCAGAACCCAGGACAGCTGCGCAAGAAGTGGGTGCCTGAAGGTTATGACGACCAAATGATGTTCTATAGACCACACTTTTTCTATCTCTTAAGATATAGAGACTTGGATGGGCAGTTTCAGGATCCAATGTCAAATCTACATGAAACGTGCGGATCATTTTATGCAGGCCCAAATAATATGGGGGGAGTTCAAAACTCTCCTCCTTTAACTCATATAAAAAGATGGGTGGGGTTTCTAGGTTTTCATAACTGTTGTGGATACTTACAATACCAGCGAGTAAATCCACGTCTGTCTGCAAACACTTACTGATAATATCACTAAGCAGACTATTTAATATGGAACTGTGGTTTGATATTTGGTTTTTCTCCTCAATTAATTTTTCTTGAACTTTTATTTCTTCAATTAGCAAACTAGTAAGAGTTTCCATCTGTTTCTTTTCCAAGAAATGTTTAAGTTGTTTAAATTCAGTTTGCAATTCATCCTTTTGATTTTCTATCTTCTGTCTTAATTCAAAACATTTCAGCACTTGCATTTCTGACCGATTTTCAGTATCTTTAATCTGCTTGCTCAAGGACACAATACAGCTCTTGAGCTTCCTCCTGTGAGTAGCTGCAGCTTCTTCAGTGAGAATCAGGGGGTGATCCCCATGATCAGGGGAGACCCTGCACTGGGCGCACAGCAGCTCCAGGTCCTTCTCACAGAACAGAGCCAGAACCTCATGGTGCTTCTTACACAGGGGTTCCTCTTGCCTTTTTCTCTTTACCTTCATGGTGGGAATCTGCTGAACAGTCTCCATCACGTGACATAATTGGGGGTTCCTCTTCAAGCTCCTGTCAGGGCAGTGGTGAAGGCAGACAGGACAGGGAAAGGTGCCCTGTAGGCCTTCCCAGCGCTGGAGGATGCAAGAGAGACAAAAGTTGTGCTCACAGGCAATTGTCACTGGGTCTGTCATGTAATCCAGGCAGATGGGGCAGATGGCCTCTTCCTGGAACTCAGCCACCAGGGCAGTTGCAAAGGCCATGGTGCAGTGAGGGTGTCTGTCCCAAGACAGTCTCTTCAGTCGGTGTAATCCTCCAGAAGTGACGAAAAGTGAGAAGCTGAGGTCTGCTCAGACCTCCCTCTCTGTGGAAGGCACTAGGAGTTTCTAAGAGTTCCAGCCACCAGCTGATGTCGTCTTCTTGCTGCCCTCTCCTGTATTTAACAACACATCGCACAAGGGATGTAGAGTGCTCCAGGTCAAAAGCCAAGCTCAATCCAAGTCATAAGTGGTTTCTTAGCCGGCTCCTTTGAATGTGTCTCCAAGAAGAGTCTCTGAAGCCAGTCTCCTTCCAGTTAAATGTTTAGTAATGTGACTCTGGCCTCTATATATCACTAGGAGGGTAATCTCTTTAAGACCTCACCCAGTAAGGCTCCTCCCTGGAGGTGGGACTCCTGGGCGAGGGTAGGGATAGGAGGATGTTCAGAAGTCTGGCTGATGGGATCTCCTCTTGTTCCTGCAGATTAGGGCAGACTAATCTTGTTAATGCATAATCTGATTTACACCTTTGTAATCCTCCCTTGAACTTCTCAACACGCTTCAATCCTATTTGGCTGAGGAGGATTAAATGAAAAGTAAAATCTTGCTCTAGCTGTTTTGGCTTAGTGGATTGAGCATCAGCCTATGGACTGAAGGGTTCCAGGTCTGATTCAGGTCAAAGGTTACATACCAAGGTTGCAGATTGAATCACCAGTGGGAGGCGTGTAGGAGGCAGCTGATCAATGATTCTCTCTCATCATTAATGTTTTTATCTCCCTCTCCCTCCCTCTCTGAAATCAATAAAAATATATTTAAATAATAATAAACATAAAATCTCTGCTTTCTTTCCAATGTGGGCTCCCACAAAGAAAGATGGAGAGAAGAAGGACCTTTCTGCCATCAAGGAGGTAGTGACCAGAGAACACACCATCAACATCACAAGTGCCTCTCTGGAGTGGGTTTCAAGCAATACATGAAATATGTCTGCATGTGGCTGTGAAAAACAAAACCAAAAGCTGTAGATATACTTTTTGTAAAAAGCAAACTGTAGGGAGCATTTGATATCTTGCTTCACAGCAATGGTCATAATTTTGGGATCAAATAAATGTTTATAAATTATTTATCCACTTTTTTGTTAATCCTCACTCAAGAATGTTTTTCCATTGAACTTTAGGGAAAGTGTAAGAGAGATGGAAAGACAGAGATAAACATTGATGTGAGAGAAACAACAATTAGTTCCTCCTTCATGAGTCCAGACAATGGCCCATGTCAGGGAAGAGCCTGCAATGAAAGTATGTGGCCTTGATGGGAGTTGAACTCAGACCCTTTGGTCCACAGATCGACAGGCTATCCACTGAGCCAAACTGGCTAGAGCTCTTCAAATTACTTTTTAAAGAGGAAATTGTAGAACACACCACATACCGGTAGTAGTCTCATATTATATCATGAAACAATTGAAATATAATAAGTGGATAGAAACCAAGGTGGCTGCATAAGGTAAACACCTAAATGTAGCCTACCACAATTTTAAAATTACAACTGGAAAACAGAGAGGACATTGTCCAGAACCTACAGAAAGCTGGCTGAGTGGAAGCTCTACCAACTAGAAAAAAAGAGAAAAGGACGCTGAGCCTCAGGAGCTTTTGAGGTGCGGAGGTCCATGAGCGTGGAAAAAGGATCTCCACTTTAAAGATGTGAAGACTGAGGCTCAGGAGTGAGTCTGATGTAAGAGTCCAGGTCAGGGCTGACTGCTGGACACTGACTTGGTCTCTGTTGGAACCTATTAATCTGATTCCAACAAGGGCTTGCATAATGATTTGGAATGATGCAGGCTGTGAAAAATACAGACCTGGAGGAACATCAGGCCATCCATCACCGTTATTCTCACCCAAGGATAGCCTTTAATCACGTGGTCTTCATAAATCAAGACACACATCATTCAAGCCTCTAGTGCTTTTCAAATTTTAATGTCGTCAAATCACCCGGAGATCTCTCTGATTCAAATAGATCTGAGGTGATTTCTAATGATGCTGAAGGTCCACAGATCCCACTTTGAGCAGCAAGGCCTTTGGAAGTACTATAGTTAGCAAACCTTTCTGCAGTGGAGTCACCCAGGGAATTTCTGAAGTGCTGGTTCTGGTTTCCCACTACCAGAAATTGTAATTTCATCGGCCCGGGGTTAGGAATTTTAAAAGATCTCCATGTGATTCTAATCTGCAGCCAAGTTTAGGAAGCACTGTTCTGGGGCTTACAGAGAAAGCAAGCTGATTGCAGGCAAGGAAATGAACCCATAAAGAAAACAAACTGATAACGTGGCGAGGACAGGATAGATTTTGCAAGGTTAGTACTTTGAATAGGGTGGTGGCGGGTGGGAAACTTGTCACATTTAATCCGTGCCTCCCAATCTGTTGATGCCCAAATGCCTTTCTGCTGTGGAGCAGGAGGGACGCTGCCCACGAGGGCTTTCCTGCGCAAGCGCGAACCAGGCGCCCGCGGGGGCGGAGCCTGCTGCCTATGCGCCTGCGCCGCAGACCCGCCCCTCGGGGCGGGGAAAGTGCCGCAGACCCGGAAGTGCGCCGAGTCCCGCGGAGTTTGTGGGGAGCCGCGGGCGCTGGGCTGGGCGTGGGCCGCGCCCTCCGGTCCCGCTCGCCGCTCGCCACGTGGCTGAGCGCCAGGCCCCGGGCGCCCTGGAGCCGCCGGCGTCAGTCGCTGCGGCGGTCTCCTCCCTCACCATCGCCGACGCGTTCGTCCGGGCCGGCGAGAGCCCCGCGCCGCCGCTCCCGGCGCTCCCGGGGAGGTTCATCTGCTCCTTCCCGAACTGCTGCGCCAGTTACAACAAGGCCTGGAAGTTAGACGCGCACCTGTGCAAGCACACGGGGGAGGTAAAGGGTCCGAAGCGGGGACCGAGGGGCCGGGCGTCCAGGCGCAGGGACTAGTGACATGGCCCGCCAGGTGGGATCCGCGCGCGTGGATCGCTGGCCTGGCTTTGCAGGAAGTGTTCAGCTTTGGCACACGGACCACAGAAGCGAACCAACCATGCCTTGCGCGTTAGGGAAGCAGCTGAGGAGGTAGACAAGAAGTCCTAGCACCGAGGTATCCTTGCCGTGGCTCCGGGGTTTACAGAGCAAACTTTCCCCCTTCTTTCATGAGTCTTGGCCCATCACTACCTCCTGGTAATCTGTAAACACTGCACGACTTATCATTCCATAGACACCTGCCTTAAGCACCTCTCTCCCAGAACTTGGGCGTAGGCTATTCCCTGGAGGTGTGGCAAGCAGCATGCAGTCATTCTTTCAAAACACAGTGCCATCCTAGCCTTGGAGAGAGAGAGAGCAGTGAACAAAACAGGCAAGGCATCCGTGGTCACGGGCCTATTGCTTTAAGCAGGACAGACAGATAAAGGAATAGGTAGGAGTGAGATGCAGTAAAGCGAGGGCTGCTGGAAGGTGCTTAGGAAAGGCCTCTTGTTCTGACTGAGAAGGAAAGGATCCAGCCATGCAGCCATTTAAGGGGAAAAAAGTCTGGGCCAAGAAAACTGCCAGGAGAGCCTGTAGAGCGGGTGTGTGTGGGGGAGGGTGGGGGTGGGGGTGGGGGAGGTAGGCCAGTATTATTGGGGGGACTCTACAAGAGAAGCTCCTGAGAACCAGGCTTGGTGGGATCATTTGTAGGCCAGGGAACAGATGGGTTTGGAGTGTGTTTTACTTGGAGGGCAATGAAGTATTTTGGAGTAAGACAGTTGAAGGAAGTGGGACTCATGGAGGCCAAGGAATCTGCCCAATTTCCCAGGTTCTGGCAGAGCCTGCTTCTCCCTGCCTCAGCTAAAGGCCCTTAATTTCTTAAGTTAGAGGCCTGCAGTCCTTGCCTTTGCTCCCAGCACCTACCGAACTTAGGGGCCACTCCTCCCATGACACCCATTCTCCTACCATCTCCAGAATTTAAGGGCTGACCATTTCTTTCTTGGGACCTTCTCCAGTTCTCTTCCTCTGACCCTTTTCACTGGCGTATCTTCTGCCTCTACTGTTCTGGCAGGCCTATCCAGTACTGGGTTCACTCATAACATTTATAATCCTTTGCTTCCTGATCTTCCTCTTACCCATCCTATCCCTCCAAATCTGAACTGTACCTGATCTTCCTCTTACCCACCCTATCCCTCCAAATCTGAACTGTACAGCCAGTATGTCCAAATTAAGACTTTACCTTTAATTTTAGACATGTGTGTCATATTTTGACTATTGGTACTACCAGCTTCCTCATACAGAAAAACTTGAAGTCTTCGTTGTTGTCCCAAATCTCACACATTAAGTTGACAAATATTGATTGAGCCTAATCCATGACAGGAGTTTTGCAAAGTTCTGTGGATCTGTTCCTTAGCGCAGGCACTGGGCTTGTCCAGAATTAGGCGGCACCTGCACATTCTTCCCTGGCCTTTGGGTGGGCGTGCACACGCTGTGGTGGAGATCTGTGTGCATAGACCGTGCTATCGGGTCTAGTAATAATTAATGTCGTTTTAAACATTCGTTTAAAATCTTGCTTGGCGTTGACTTGTATTGACATAACCTTCAAACACGTGGTATCTACAGAACGTGTGAAGTGCAATTAACAAGTTTTGCTTGAAAAAGTTTGTGTTTGGTTTGGTTTTTGTTGCAAAACTAGGGCTAAGAAGATGGCGGATGAAGAGCATATTCGGCACTGCATTCTTTATGAGTTCCAATTAGGAAGAAAAGCAAGTGAGGCTGCAAAAAACATCTGTAGTGCTCTTGGTCAAGATGCAGTTAGCGCCAGAAAATGCCAGCGTTGGTTTGAGAAATTTCGCGAGGGAAATTTTTTGTTAGATGACAAGAGTGGTCCAGGCTGTGTGTCCAATTTTGATCAAGAAGCTCTTCAAGCTCTTTTGGTGCAAAATCCTCAAATTACCCAACAAGAGCTTGCGACAACTTTAAATTGTTCACAAAAAACAATTTCCAATGAATTGCATGCACTTGGAAAAGTCCAAAAGTTTGGAAAATGGGTTCCTCATGAGTTGACCGACAACAACCGAAATCAAAGAGTCACAATTTGCAGTTCGCTCCTCTCTCGTCAAAACCGTTTGCCGTTTTTAGAGCAAATTGTTACCGGAGATGAAGAATGGGTGCTGTATGTTATTTTGAAAAGGCGGCCTCAATGGTTGGACAAAAATGAGGCTCCGCAGCCCACGCCAAAACCTGACTTGCATGCGAAAAAAGTGATGTTGTGTGTTTGGTGGAATTTTAAAGGAATTCTTCATTATGAACTTTTACCATCTAACCAAATGATTACAAGTGCAGTGTATAGTGCCCAATTGGAAAGGTTAGCACAAGCTTTAAGAGAAAAAGAACCCGCGCTGATTAATCGGAAGGGCGTAATTCTTCACCACGATAACGCACGACCGCATACTGCAAGAATCACTGCTGAAAAACTGCGCCAGTTGGAATGGGAAGTTCTCCCTCAACCTGCATATTCTCCTGATATTGCCCTTTCCGATTACCATTTGTTTCGTTCTTTGCAAAACTTTCTTCTTGGAAAAAAATTTAATAATGAAGAATGCCTCAAAAATGCATTGACCGAATTTTTTGCATCAAAATCACAAGAATTTTACAACAGAGGGATTAAAATGCTTCCTGAGCATTGGGCACAAGTAGTAGAAAACAACGGCAACTATATTGTTGATTAAATTTTGTTGTATTGTTTAAATAAATTCGATTTAAGAAAGTATAAGAAAACGACATTAATTATTACTAGACCTAATAATAGGCAAGCAGTCTTCTTCTTCTTTTTTTTTTTTTTTTAAATATATTTTATTGATTTTTTTACAGAGAGGAAGGGAGAGAGAAACATTGACCAGCTGCCTCCTGCTCACCCCCTACCGGAAATGTGCCCACAACCAATGCACGTGCCCGACAGAAATCGAACCTGGGACCCTTCAGTCCGCAGACTGACGCTCTACCACTGAGCCAAACCGGTTTCGGCTAGGCAAGCAGTCTTAAGAGGGGGCTGCACTTAAAGCCAGGTGTCAGGTTAGGAGATTATGCAGCTGTGAAGGCTGCCCGCTTATTGCATATGCTATTCATAGAGCAAGGTCTGCTGCAGTGACTTTGTCGAGAAGTTGTGACATTGATGTGTAACTGCATGCAGGACAACCTTGTCTGGCCTTGGTGTGACAGCTGCTCAGTACTGAGTGAAAACCGTCTGCAGAGACTGCGTCCATGGCCTTGCCGACTAGACACCTGAGCCTTTAGATAATACTAGCGTTACTAATGTGGGCAGAATTGACACATTTCTTTTCTTTCCTTCCTGCTAGAGACCATTTGTTTGTGACCATGAAGGGTGTGGCAAAGCCTTTGTCAGGGACTACCACCTGAGCCGCCATGCCCTGGTTCACACTGGAGAAAAGCCTTTTGTGTAAGTAGAGAACTGGGTTGGAGCTTTGAAATGGTCGTGTGGTGCACTGACCTGGTAAAAAAACTGATTATTACCTCAAGATCAAGAGAACTGAAGCTTCATTTGCATCTCTTGACATAAGAGGAGACCAGGTTTTAAATGTGTGGAATGAGTAAGGGTTTTGTGGGCAATGTGTGTTGATAACTCCAGGAAGAAGTTAATCTGAAGTTCTCTTGCATTTGCATCCTCTCAACTCCTTTAAAGTGTTCACTGATTGGGAAATCAAACAGGAAACACAGTTTAGATCAGATGGAAAATGATTGCTTGGCAGGTTATTGACTGCATTGTAAGGGTCTTTCTGAATTGATACACTGCTGGGATAAGAGGTAAAGGCATGAAGAAGTCGAGCTTTTAAGAGTGTATTTTGTATTTCTTTGGATTAAGCCCCAGCACCTCTGTCATACCGGTTTTAATTTTATTCTTCTTAGAGTTGCTGATTGTTTATCTGAAAGGGTGAAAATACAATTTTTCTTTTAAATCCATACTTCTTTAAAGCAGCGGACTTCAAATTTAGGGTTTATCAATCACCTGGAGGCTCTTAAAACAGCTTGCTAAACCCCACCCCAGAGCATCTCATTCAGTAGGTCTAGGATGGGGCTTGAGAATTTGCATTTCTTGTAATTCCTGGGTGATATTGATGGTGCTGCTCAGGCAACCACACTTAGAACCATTAAACAGAATGTTTCAGGAAAACATTAAATTTTTCTAGGAAAAAAAAAAATCTAATAGCTGTTCAGAACTGTATGTTGCAGACAATATCAGGAAATAGCTATATGGCAGGTTTTGCAAAAAATTAGGATTTAAAATCATAATTTTGTTCTATGAGACAGTTCCTGGAGCAGTAGAGTTTTCTAATGACCCGAGTTGATTTCTATTAGCTCTAAGCTGATGAATGTCTCACTAAGGTCCACAAAGTCTGAAGAAAGTGAGCTGTTGACACAGGACAGTCTTCATTGTTGTGTTCCTTATGGAAGGCCATCTCCTCTCCCTCTGACAGCACACCAGCCAGAGGGAAAGAGGCAAAGCGCTGAGGACAAGCAGATGTCATTCAGCCCCTGTTCAAGCAGTGTCCTCAAAATCAATGACATTAAGTGAAGATTATTATTTCAAAATATAGTTCAACTATACCAGCGAAGAGTAACTAAGGTGATTTGGAAAATAGGGCTGGAAAATAGTCTTTGTTCTAGAGATTGCATTTTGGGGAATTTATTCTACAAATACACTTGTTCCTATGTTAAAGGCATGTACATGGTCATGTGCAACATTATTAATAGTAGCAAAGCATTAGAATCAAACAGTGTGCCCATCAGGGGGGTTAAAGTGTATCACCAGAGTGGAATACTATACAGCTAGAAAAATTAATGCAGTTGATCTCTATGAAACTGGGGAAATCTCTCCGGCGTGTTAAGTGAAAAACCAAGCAAATAAAGGGCTACATTTTTTTGTGTATAAAAAGGGAGTGGTATAGACAGGAAGAACCTACAGTTATGTTTGCTTGTATATGTATAAGAAACATGAAAAGTTTCATAAAACTAAAAATGTCACTTGCCTTGGGAGTCCATGGGGAATACTGGGTGGGTAGGAGCAGGGGTGTAAGGAAACATTATGTATCCGAGTCCCTTTTTATGCTTTTCTGAACAATGTTACTGTATACTGTTACATATAATGTAAGAAAAAAGTGGGTCTGGGTATAGATACAGAGGATGAATGAGAAAAGTGAGGATTATTCCTGTTGGAACAATGTGCTCTCTTCCAGCTTTCTCTCTAGCCCAGACCACCCCCTCGATAGTTCCAGATCCCCGTAGCCAGCTGCTGGTTGGACAGTGCTATTTCACTGTCTTTGTGGCTTCTTAAATTCACTAAGCCGTTCTGAGCTGGGCTTTCTCTTTGGCCTTCTCCATTGTTCTTGTTAGGTGGCATCACCGTGTATCCAGTGATTCACAGCAAAGATAAGGCAACTCCTCTGGCCACCTCATTCTGCTCTCCTCTCCAGCACGTAGGTTGTTCAGCCCTGTTTCCGATCCCTCAACTCCCACTCTCCTGCTCCAGCTGCCACTCTTATTTCAGGCCCTACTCCTGGCATGACTGGCTCTCTCCCACATTAGCCTCCAGGTTGCTTTCCTTCTTAAAATAGTGCAGTAGTTTTTAAGCACTGCTTACATAATGAAGTCCAGGTTCTTAGTATGTCACATAAATGACATTTGTGATTTGGCCATTTGGGCTTATCTTGACTCATTTGCTTGAATTTCAGACATGAACTTATGATCCAGCTATGCTTAACTGACCAGCAGCCTCCTCCTGTTTACCCTGCTAACGTTGTCAGTGTCTTCAGTGGCCCTGTGCTTGCTATTTGGCTCTTGTCAGGACTTTCCTGGGCCCTATCCTGCCCCACACCTTTGTTAGGTTAGATGCCTGGGTCAGGCTTAAAGTCAGTGACAGAAAACCCACCTCTGTAGAAGCCTAAACAAAATAGTCTTTTTCTCTTGCATAACTGAAATGCACAGTAAACAGTCAATGGAAGATCTGTAATCATCTGGGTCTGAGCCCCTTCCAACTCTGCCATCCTCTCTTGGGGCTTCAGCATCATGGTCCAAGATACCTGTTGGAGCTCCAGCTGTCACATAAGCATTGCAGCCACCAGGATGAAGGAAGGTGCGAAGAGGTGTGCCCCCTTTTTACATGTGGGATTTAAGCAACATGGACCAGAACTTAGCCTGGTGCCACCCCTAAATACAACGGATGCTGGAAAAAGCTCTTTATGTTGGCCATGTACCCAGCTGAAACTCACTCAGCATTCTGTTCCTGAGGTCAGGAACACTTGGAACTTCGAGTGGTTTCTGCCAAATTGTCCCTCCTGCGTGTTTCCAGTGGGCTTCTGGGCGCATCTCCCACGGTCACTGCACCGTTAGTCTGCTCATATGGACAGCACGGTGCTTCATATGAGCGTTATTCATCATTTATCATTTATAGCTGTGATGTGGGCTTATAAAGGAAGCCCCGCCTCATCCATCAGGCTGATGAAAACTTGTCACAAACAGATCACATATTTTAAAAATACAACTTCACAAAGAATTTTAGTAATTCAAGGCCAGGATACAGAAATGCTCTTTAAGAGTACTTGAGCAGCCTGGTGATATGCCACAGGACAACGGTTTATAAGCTGAAATCCGTTTTTTGTGTTGTTGTTTTTTGTTTTTGGTGTGGGGGGGTTTCTGTTTGGAAAGGCAGTTTACAGTGACATTTCAAGCAAAATTTAGATGATCACATTCTAGACTGAGAACAATTTGACTTAAACATCATTTAAGCCTAAACAGGGTCTGGGCCTTTGGAATCGGTGTTTTTCACCTCCCCTCTGCCCATTGTACAGAGGAGTCTGATGCCGTGTGCTTAATTTCAAAAGCCTCGCGTGAAGTTCGTCTTGTTACATGGTGATCACATCAAAACAGAGAGGTCTACATGATGTGATTTACACTTTGGAATTTGTTAAAGATTATTTTATATGATTCTCTGGCATTATTAGCTTTTATGAAATCTTAAAATTTTTTCTCCTTGATTTGTTAATATTTGGGTTTATAATTTCTCACAGTTGTGCAGCTAGTGGCTGTGACCAAAAATTCAACACAAAATCAAACTTGAAGAAACATTTTGAACACAAACACGAAAATCAACAAAAACAATATGTGGTAAGTAAGAATGATATTCTATGCTTAAATTCTCTGAATATTTTTATGCTTATTGTCTGTTTCTAAAAGTTTCATCAACCAAATTTTGTCTGTCAAATATCTGGATTTAGCCTGGTACATGCTATCATAATTGTTTTATTTTGAAAGCAAACATTATTGTGCTAATTAAAGTATGTTATTGGTAGATTACCCCAAATGAAAACTATCTGTCTTTAAAGTTTCTTGACAAAGCATTTTACCGTAACTAAATGGGTGAAAAGTAGCAAGTTTATAATCACAGTATTTTTATCTTGAGTATTGTTATGAACTGTTCTTTGATGTTTTTCAAGACTAACAAACCTTTACTGAACAGTGCACGTTTGGAGGCTGTGAGAAGACCTTTAGGAAGCATCAGCAGCTGAAAACCCATCAGTGCCAGCACACCAACGAACCATTGTTCACGTAGGTACTCTCCCAGGAGACATCCACATCGCAAATTTCAGGGAGTAAACTGAAATGCAAAGGTTGGGTACAAATGTTCTGAAACAGTTTATTAATCAGTATTTTTCTGTTGCCTTGTATAGTATACGCCCCTTTATATTTTGGACTATTCCAAAAGTTCAATTTTGCTTGTTTCTCTAAAAGAAATATTTAATATGCTTCAGAATACTCTGTAAGATTAGTAAAATGTGGTTAAGCTTGAAGGGAAGATTAATAAGTGACTTAGCAAATAGAGCCTGGTCAATAATATGACATGTCATTATGAAGACCCTAGCTATACTTTACCTAAAAAACAAAAGCAGCGCTTAGCCTGCATTAGAGAGGGTTTCATGAGGAACAGGAAAAGGTGACAGGAAACATTAGATGTGCCCAGGGCATCGAGGAATCCCCACTGCCTGCACAGATGTCACTCTTGAAGAGCACGGACTCCGGCACTGCCGTGCTGGCAGAGCCTTCCTCCGCTCACACAGGCTGCCCTTCGCCTGGGAGCTGCCGCCGGGACAGTGCTTGCAGGTCTGCTGCTGCCGCTGCTGCTGCTGGCGGCAGTAACGCCGAATTGGCATGTCCTTCTCATTGCTCACCAGAGCTGTGAAGCTACTGCTCTGTTTTCTTTTCACGCCATTCCCATGCAGCCTTGTTGGAAAAACTAGATAGAAATGACTTAGTTATTTAAATGTTGACCTAAGCCATCTTTTTTGTAACCATGAAAACACGGAGTATGTTTTCAGAAGTATAAAAAGTGTTTAATTTGAGCGCTAGCCGGTTTGGCTTAGTGGGTGAAGCATTAGCCTGAGGACTGAAGGGTCCTGGGTTCCATTTCGGTCAAGAGCCGATGCCCGGGTTGCAGGATTGATCCCCAGTAAGGGGTGTGCAGGAGGCAGCCAATCAATGATTCTCATCACTGATGTTTCTAGCTCTCCCTCTCCCTTCCTCTCTAAAATCAATAAGAAAAACATTTTTAAAAAGTGTCTAATTTGACCACATAAGCTAAAAAATGTAATGTGACGTTTTTCTCTGTTTTGCTCCAAGTTTGGTCAAGTAATTTGAATTATACTATGATAAGGTCTCATATTTATATGACGGTTTGGTTGTGGGGAGAGAAGACTTTGGTTGGAGAAATAAGACAAAGTACTATTGCCTCTAAGTGAAGTTCTCTGTGAAATGGACCGGCTGATGCCTCGTCTTGTTAACGCAGGTGCACCCAGGAAGGCTGCGGGAAACACTTCGCTTCGCCCAGCAGGCTGAAGCGCCATGGGAAGGTCCATGAGGGTGCGTACGTGGGCCTTTGTAGTGTTCACTTTACTAACACGCCAGCCACATGGTGTATGTGTGTAAGTCTGAGTACTTGCTGCTTTCTGCTCTATTCCATGATCATACTGAGCAACTTGGAACTAGGCGGGGCACCATTCTGCTCGTCCAGGTTTTAACTCTTGACCAAAGAGGTACTGTGTGCTGTGTCCATTCTTCCACGCCGCTGCCATTTTCAAAGTCCACATTGAATTGTTCAGAACATTGTGCTGTGTCTTGTGATATGCAGGTGCTCCTGCGAAGGCGTTGCTTCTTCACAGTAGTTTTTAACCCCTTCTACTTACTTCCTGTGCCATTCTTCTCCTAGGAGCGCTCAAACGGTTTAGAAAATAGTTTGGAGTTTTCAGAGCAATCAGATTGAAACTTTAAGACTTGATTAAACTGACTACTTCACTCTATTATGTTTCCATATAGGATTTTTGATATCTATACTCCAACTCTCAAGCCCTAGACTTTGTGTTTTGTTTTGTTTTTTAAACTAGAGGCTAGTAGCTAAGAGTGACAGGCAGTCTTATTCTTTGTTTCTATCTGGAATTTAGTTGGGTAAAACTCAGGCTGGCTGTTATATTGACTGATTAATCTAATTCTAGTGCTTTATGAAATTCAGTTTTTGTTCACAGTCTTTGTTGCTGGTTATTCTAGTTTATTTTCTTACTTAGCTTTACCCTGCTTCTTTTTTGCCATATGAAACTTACAAGATGGTAAGACTAGAGAAGTCAGGGGTGGGCATATAACTGCTGAGATCTCGTGTTGGTGTTTTGCCAAGGACAAAGGACCACCTTTCCTGCTAAGGAGAAAGAGAGGCTACCATAGGCAGGGTGGGTGAGGGGCCATGCGCCATGGAGGTGGGGGAAACTAAAGCAGCTGGGTGTCCATGTGCAGTACAGTCAGCTTACTGAGAAAGCAGGAAAGGGAAAGAGGCAGCTTTATGAAGTCTGCTAAGCTCATATCCTACATGAAGTACCCTGATAAGCAACTGTTTGGTTTCACTGTAAAATACCACCTCAGTTTTTACTGTCACCTCTTGAGACTAACAGAATAGAATACTATTGGGAGGTAGAAGAAACATTACATATACATGTAGGTTTCCTTTTTTAATTATGATTGTTGTTTACATTGAATATTTACAAAAGGCAACACACCTATCTATTTTTTTTTAAATAGGTTATAAATGTCAAAAAGAATGTTCCTTTGTGGCAAAAACATGGACAGAGCTTCTGAAACATGTGAGAGAAACCCATAAAGGTAAGGCAGCCTGTCTGGTGTGGCTCAGCAGTTGAGCATCAACCTATGAACCAGGAGGTCCCTGGTTCGATTCCCGGTCAGAGCATATGCCCGGGTAGCAAAGCAAGCTCAATCCCCAACACAGGGCATGCAGAAGGCAGCTGATTGATAGTTCTCTCTGGTTGATGTTTCTATGTCTTTTTCCCTCTTCCTTCCTCTCTCTAAAAATCAATAAAGGAAAAATAAATGGGGTAAGATACACTTGAATGGCTTGGTATAATCATTTACCCCCGTAGAACTGGTTTAGTGCTTTTAAAGAGAAATATTAAATATGCACTTAATAAATGTTTTGTGAAGAGCTATGCTCTTCAACTGTTTGACAAATGAGAATAGAGACGTATGGTCCCAGGTTTGGAAGAGCTATTCTGGGTCTCTTTGAGCTACTCTGCATCCTTAGCATTTTATTTTATTTTTTTAAAATATATATATTTTATTGAGTTTTTACAGAGAGGAAGAGAGAGGGATAGAAAGCTAGAAACATCGATGAGAGAGAAACATTGATCAGCTGCCTCCTGCACACCCCCTACTGGGGATGTGCCCGCAACCAAAGTATTATACATGCCCTTGACCGGAATCGAACCTGGGACCTTTCAGTCCGCAGGCCGATGCTCTATCCACTGAGCCAAACCTGTTTCGGCCATCCTTAGTGGTTTAAAGGCTATGGCAAGTAAATAATCTGGGGCGGCACTGTTCTGGGACAGTTTTGGGAAAGAATGCCCTGTGTACTGAGGACAAGGAAGGAAACTGGTCTATTTAATTTTCTCCCTTTGCCCATAGCTACCTTGCTGAGGCCCCTGCTCCGTGGCAAGAGTGATTTTATGGCCCTAACTAGTTTGGCTCAGTGCGTTGGCCTGCAGACTGAAGGTCCCAGGTTCGATTCCTGTCAAGGGCATGTACTTTGGTTGCAGGCATATTTCCAGTAGAGGGTGTGCAGGAGGCAGCTGATCAATGTTTCTCTCTCATCGATGTTTCTAACTCTCCCTCTTCCTTCCTCTCTGTAAAAAAAATCAAATAAAAAGAGTGACTTTATGTAATATAAGAACTTGGGAGATTTGAGATAAAGATTCAAGCAATAAAAACTGGAGTTAGTTTCCTCTGAAATTTCTGACTTATGTGAGGTCATAAGGTTTTAGGTATTGAATATGTTATATAATTAGATATTAATGTTTTCCGTGTGATAATTCCTGGGAAAACTGATTAAAATTTTTTGTCTATTCACCAGAGAAAATAATATGTGAAGTATGCCAGAAAACATTTAAACGCAAAGATTATCTGAAACAACATATGAAAACACATAACCCAGAAAGGGATGTGTGTCGATGTCCAAGGGAAGGCTGTGGTAGAACCTACACAACTGTGTTCAATCTCCAGAGCCATATTCTCTCTTTCCATGAGGAAAGGCGTCCGTTTGTTTGTGAACACGCTGGCTGTGGCAAAACTTTTGCCATGAAAGTAAGTACTCACCCTCACAGGTGCAGTCCTTCCAGGGCGAGGCTGCTTCCGGGTTCCTAGGAGCCCTGGGTTCCAGGATGGTGCCCTAGGGCCTGCAGTGGGAAGGCAGGTGAAGAGGGCTCCAAGACCTTCCGCTCTTAACTGGAGTGGCTCTGAGGTAAAGCCTGCCATACACAGATCTGCCTCTGCCAAGTGGTTCTCAGAGTGTGGCCCTGGCCTAGGAGTACTAATGTCACCTGGAAACTTGCAAAAAATGCCTATCCCCTGCCCTACTCCAGACCTGCTGACTCAGAAACTTGGGGGTCAGGAGCCCAGGAATGCTTTTTAACAAACCCTGTAGGTCAGCAGTCGCCAACCGATGTGGTGTTCGGGGAGGTCCTAAGGATTGGCAGCCGCTGATCTAGGTGACTCGTGTGGGCTGTCTTTGAGAACCAGTGGCTTATGGTACCAAATGCTTATTCAAGAGTGTGCTGGTATTTTAGGCTGCTCTCACCTAGGAGCCACCTTTTTAGACCACAATCATGTAAGGATTGAGAAGGGAAGTGTACAAAAGGATGTGAGGGGCTATAAACTTGGGAATCTACCCAGTGTTCACCTTGGTATGATTCTATAGGTTGGGAACATGACACTAAGTGGAGGGGCCTGTGCAGTTTTACAGACTCTAACTGGTTGGTGCACTTACAAGCACTTAAGCTGTGAATTACAATGAAGGCTGAAGCGAGAAATGAGGCCGGTTCAGCATAGGCTGAACCATTAGAACACAACTTGGAGCTGCTGGTGATTGGCATTATCATCAAAAACAGCAAGACTTGGGCCATCTATGCCTCTGGTTTGGGGATGCTGTGGACATGGCTTCAGTTAAACGAACCTCCTTTAGTTTGGAATAGTTAATTCAGAACTAGCTTTCCCCACGCTCTTACTCACGGAAGAGCTAAGAAGCCACAGGAGATCAAGATTACAAATTCCTGACCTGAGTTGTTGGAAGAGGCAGTGATTCACTCTAGGATTTGAGGAAGAATCCTCTCGTGGAATCCTTGTAGGTAGAGGCCACACCCCTCACAGAATGTAACAGAAAGAAGGCTGTTTGTTTAAATAATTCATGGAGTTTTCACGTTAATAGGTACCAAATGGCAGTGTTTTAAAAACAGAACTTGTTCTTTCTTTCACTGCAGCAGAGTCTCACTAGGCATGCCGTGGTGCACGACCCCGACAGAAAGAAAATGGAGCCCAAAGTAAGTTGGGAGCCACAGACGAGCTGTTTTTAAAACATGAATTGCTGATTGAAGTAAGATGCAATCTATTTAGAATATTTTTGACTCTTATTACTGAGTCTATACCACTATTGAAAGTAATTAGATGTATTTATTTACTTATAAAGGAGGGTTGTGTACCTATCAGAGTGTACAACTATTGTAAAATTAGTTCAGGTAATTTTTATTTTGAATTCTAATTATTTTCCTTTTTCCAAAGGTAAAACAAGCTTGTAGAAAACGGAGTTTGTCTTCCCGTCTCAGTGGATACATTCCTCCTAAAGGGAAACAAGCACACGGCTTATCTTTGCCTAAAACTGGAGAGCTGCTGAACAGCACTGACGACAGAGTGCTCTCGACAGTTGCAGTTCTTACCCTCAGCTAAACATCCAATTGTTTTCCACAGACCAGCCAGCTCAGTTACAGGCAGACCTGATTGGTGGTTCCACACCACTGCACTAAAACAGGTAGTGCACTAAAGCAAGTTGAAATGCTTTTGCTTGTGGAGGAGGGTCTTGCCTTTGATTTTTTTTGGGGAAAATGCAACATCTGTAAAACACCGTAAAGTGAAGCACAATAAAATGAGGTATTCTTGTATTTTCTCTCAGAACCACATTTTTCTTTAATTACTGATGCAGAATATCTGATTTTTTGTCGTTTTCATTTTTTTTGTTTAAAGGGTTTCCGTCCTGGGTCTCTTGAGTTTGTCTGTATGCAATTTCTTCCTTTTCGCTCAAATGACGAAGAACACATTTTACAGCTTTTCCTCCTTGAACAGGTTGTGGCCTGGATGAGAAGGTAGCTATTCCAGGCATAGTCTGGAGGATTTGATTAAACAGCTCCTCCTAAGAAGGAAAAACAGCCAAAGATTAGCTTAAAACCAGTGTTTTGATTCTCTAATTCCCAATTCTTGAATTGCTATTTCAGTGGATTAGCTAAATCATTCCAGTTAAGCTGATTGAAACCTGTGCAGTAACCAGGAAGTTATACAAACTCCGGGTAACTAAACTAAGTCACTAAAAAAATCCTACTTTGTCACTGCTCTGGGTGTTTGGCCCCAAGCTCTCTCTTCTTGCAAAAACAAGTATAAAGCATTAGGTTTGGGTACTGGCAGAGTACCAACTATCCCCGTATTGTTAGCCCAGTGCAGTTTCCAGCACTCACTGTCACTTGGGGTATTAGAAAAATACACTGGTTCTAGAGACTCTGGGTCAGTTAGGGCTTTAGTGATTCTAATGTGGAACGAGGGTTGACCACCACTGGGCTGATGTTGCTTTTTAGCTGATAAGTTAACTAACTCTAAAAGCGAAAAGAGCCCTAGCCAATTTAGCTTAGTGGCTAGAGCGTCGGCCTGTGGACCAAAGGGTCCTGGGTTTGATTCCAGGCTCGTGCAGGAGGCAACCAATCAATGTGTTTCTCTCACATTGATGTTTCTCTTCCACTCCTAAAAAAATCAATGGAAAAATATCCTTGGGTGAGGATTAACTAAAAAATAAAGCAAAATAGATATGCCATAAACTTACCCTGGGATTGTAAACAAATACTTTCTTGAAGACAATTTGCCTTTAAATATGATGCTTCTTATAGGCATTTATAAAGAGGAAACAGACTTTAAAAATGAATCTATCAAGTTTCTAGTTTTCTTATTAAATGTTAGATATTCTACAATTTGTAAAATAGGGTAGTACAGCCTTTAAATTATGATGTAGAATGTTTTCACATGGCAAAATATCCTACAATGGAAAATGTAACATATATACAGTATGCTTACATTTTGAAAAACAAATTGGAAAGCTATTATCACTAGTGGAATGACTTACTTTGCTTTTACATTTAGATCAGCAAACAAAAAAACAGTTACTACTGTTTTTACTTACTGTTTTATTTTCTGGCTCTTCTGCATTCTTTGCTTTCTTTATAGTAACTTGAACTTTATATTTTTTCACAATCCACTGCTGAATCTGTTTAGTCTTTGTGTCCAAATCATGTTGTCCGATATTTGAAGAAAAAATTAGTTCCTTTGTCAGAGCAGGTCCTAGTTTGAAACAGTGAGACTTGGTGCTGGGACTATTGACTACTTTGTTTATTAAACTAACCTCACCACATATACTTCAGAAAATCTTAGTTTACCATAGGGGCCCTAACAGTCCTCTCACCTGTTTAGTTTCACAGACCATTAAACACTTTTTTAAAAATAGGAGACAGACAAACAGGTACCATTTTGTTTCTCCTGTCAATGACATTTAAATATAAAATGTACTCACTTATTGTTGACATCATTTGATGAAAAGACACAAAAAGAATGGTCCTTCAAAGTTTAGCTTTATAGTAAACTTATTGTTTTTCTTTTGGGTGTGGATCTGTCTGGGAAGTACTATTCTTATTCTTTGGTGATGCCCTCCTAAGTACAGTGGAGTCATCCAGACTGCACCCTGCATTTATTCATTCACTCTACTTTGCATATCCCAATTATTAGAAATCTAGCAGCCCACTGCACAAAATCATGCACAGGTAGGGTCCCTCGGCCTGGCCAGCCATCAGGGCCCATTGGGGCCTTCCAGCTGCCGGCCAGGGCCTCCCTTCCCCAGCAGCCAGCCAGGGCCTTCCTTCGTTCCACCCCACCCCCTGGTAGTCAGTGCATATCTTAGTGAGTGATCGAACTCCGGAGGGGACAATTTACATATAAGGCTGTTATATATATATAATTTTATTTTAGGGAAGGAACAGACTACTCATTAAAGGCATTGTGACAATTGGGAGTTTTCAATTTGGAAGTTAGGTTTTAACCCATACAAAGATCTCCCCATATGTACTAAATGTGGGAGAAAAAAACACTTTAATACAAATAGAAGAAAAGAATGGATATACTTATGACCTGGACAAAGGAAAAACAAAAGCGAAAAATCTAGGATAAAGCTTTTGCTTCATACAGAACAGAGAATCCTACAAATTAGGAAGAAAAATAAACCATCAAAGTAAGAAAAAAGGAATATGAATAGGCAATTTGTAGAAGAGGAAACTCAAATGGTAAAAGGAACTACAAATTAAAACGATATGGTTTCTCACCCATTAGCATGACAAAAATTGGAGCCCACCAGTACCGAGAGTGGGTGAGAATGGAGAGAAAGGTCCATATACCGCATGCTGATTTGCCCCATAGGAATTGAGCACGCACAAGGAGATACTGATACATGCATATACTCATTGTTTATAATAATGAAAACTGGAAACAAGCCCAGTGGCCAAGAAAATGGATTAATAAAGCTATAGTACATGCTTATAATGAAATGTCACTTGGTAATTAGTTAGCTACAGCTAATATATAAACATCTTGAAAACTACAGTGTGCCCTTTATAATTTTATGCATACAAAATGATTCTATATCCTGTTTGTGACTGTATCTGTCTGTAATGAGCTTAACAAGGTGGCATGGATCTCCACCGAGTCCATGAGAAGTGAGGGGAGCCTTTGGGGAAAAAGGGTGGAACAGGAGAAAGAAGCACAGGACTTCAACTTCTCTGTAATTTTTGGTTTAAGAAATCTGAAGTTTTACAATGTTTTGGGTTTTTTTTAATATATTTTATTGATTTTTCACAGAGAGGAAGAGAGAGGGATAGAGAGTTAGAAACATCGATGAAAGAGAATCATTGACCAGCTGCTTCTTGCACATCTCCCACTGGGGATGTGCCCGCAACCAAGGTACATGCCCTTGACCAGAATCGAACCCGGGACCTTTCAGTCCGCAGGCCGATGCTCTATCCACTGAGCCAAACCGGTCCCGGCTGAAGTATTACAATGTTAATGTTTGCTTATTTTGTGTGATAAGAGTTATTTTTCTGCTTCTAATTTCCAAAATAAGGGTAATTCTAAAAAAAGAGTTCTTTTATTAACACCATCTTGCTTCCTTAAAGCTACAATCAGGTGGTCGTAGTTTCCTATCAGGACAAAGTCATGCCTTTGACAATCTCTGAACACAGAGAGGTGTCTTCTCCAGCCTGTCAAATTTTCCCCCCCATAGATATAATTTGATGACATCCCCTAGTTGGCTTCTTCTGAGAAGTTTTGGTTTGCCAGTCAGCATCCTTGTTAAACATTGCGGATGGATTATGAGAATTATCATGTTTTCTGTTCTAAGGTTTGTGGCTAATCATGAGAATTCTTGAAAAAGATTTTAGTTTGTAAGAACATCTAATAAACAACTTCAAAATGCAATGGATATTTAATTTTAAAGTGTGCCTTTAACATTTATGTAAAATGATTTTTGTATTCATTCAATAGAAACTTATCTGGCCACTGGGTACAGCTAGCAATAAAACTACTGGTCTGAAACGTGCTAAGTGTGGTGTTACAAACTGAGCTACAGATTACATGTGACATTCTCAAGACACACAACCTCACTGGAACTAGTCCTCTGACCCCCACTCTAGTGCCTTTTCCACTGAACTATCTTTCGTAATGATCAGTAATAATTAAAAACCATGAAAAACCAACATTTTCACTTATCCAATTAATGGCTTTTATAAGGTTTAAATGACAAAAGCCTTTAAGGTAATTGGCAAAATATGTAAAGGAGTTTTACTACCAGTATCATAACAAAATACTCAGGCATAGATGCTCTATAAATCACTTCCGAGTTTAAAAAGTGCCTCTGTGGAATTAGCCAAAAACTCCCACTTTGAGATATACATATACATACATATATATATATAAAATTTTTTTTTAAAGGAAAGTAAATGAGTGGCTCAGGACAGAAATCGAAACTTGAATCCGTCTCTTCTGAGTTTTATTATATTACAGCCATCAGTTACTCTGCCTGCCTGGGCATTAGGAAACAAAGCTAAGGGAAAAGGAAAAATATTTCCTATTATTTTGGTGTTTACCTTGTTTTTCATCATGTTACATAAGTTTGAAAAAGGTAATGGACACAGGATACAAGGAAAATTAAAAAAGGAACAGAAACGAGGGATGAAAAAGCATTGGAAACAGTGGTGAAACAGTAAATTTTTGTTTTTCAACCCATTGTCACAGGCATTCTACAAATGCCCAATTTAAACTGCTGATTTATAGGAATTCAAGGGGCAAAGAGCAAACTACCTACCAGTTTTAGGTCTAGCCTTTTCCCTCTCTCTCAGTCTCAGCCGCTCTTCGTGAATCTGTGAGCCTGTCATGAGCTGGTACTCGGGAGGGTCTGTGCTGGGCTTCCTTTTCACAAGTCGCAGGTCTCGCTCATCCATAAGTCGAATCACATCTGCTCGGTGCATGTTCCCCAAATCATTGCCCTTCTCATCAAATACATGAATGATTCGCTCACTAATTTTTCTTCCAATGTTACTAAAATCAGTTTCATTATTTTTTCTTTTTTTTCTTTCATGCTGGGAGTCTTCAACAGTACTAAAAGCTTTTGCATGAATTAGATAGGACAGTCTTGGGACAGAAGCAGTGAGGGGCAACTGTGCTAGTGCCATCTTTTGCACGATGTATTTACCCAAACATCTTCTAAGACAGTTATTTTCAGTCTTTATGGTTTGTAATATTATTGACCTTAGAAAAATAGCAGCCATCCTAAAAAGTAGGGAGAACAGTTGATTAAAATTAAATAATTTGTTCTTGTGGTTTGATATTGTGGTACAAGGAGGGTGTGTGTGTGAGGCTGTGGAAACTATGTTATCTGTGAATGTTCCGGATCTGCGTTTAGAAAATTTACACAAATAACATGGACATCAGGTGAGCATGTTTACACTCATGGTAGTACTGTCCCCAGTATGTTATTGTTAGAATAAATCATGTTGCACAGTGCACTTTTCTTCACCAAACAGTATTTTATTTGATTCTATTTCCCATGGATCTTGTAGTGCCAACTTCTAAAGCAAAATCTGAAGGGTTTATCTGGGAGGGTGCAGCATATAAAATATTTAGTGATTCATAAACACCAAGTCATAACCATTTTTCTTTATTTAAAAAAATATATATTTTTATTGATTTCAGAAAGGGAAAGGGTGAGATAGAAACATCAATGAGAGAGAATCATTAATCAGCTGCCTCCCACACGCCCAGTACTGGAGATGGAACCTATAACCTGGGCATGAGCCCTGACCAGGAATCGAACCGTCACCTCTTGGTTCATAGGTCGATGTTCAACACAGTCACAACAGCCAGGCCAATTCATAAACTTTTATTTTTATTTTATTTATTTATTTATTTAATATATTTTATTGATTTTACACAGAGAGGAATTGAGAGGGACAGAGAGTTAGAAACGTCGATGAGAGAGAAACATCGACCAGCCGCCTCTTGCACACCCCCTACCGGGAATGTGCCCGCAACCAAGGTACATGCCCTTGACCGGAATCGAACCCGGGACCTTTCAGTCTGCAGGCCGACGCTCTATCCACTGAGCCAAACCGGTCCAGTCCAATTCATAAACTTTTAATACATTTAACAATTTGTCAATATATTTGATGATACACAAAATATAAGAGCACTATTATGGCAAAGTGGACTCTATGAGGAAAGCTGACCCACTGGAAGAACTGGTTGAGACTATCAGAAAGGAAATACCCTGATATTAATCAAAGTGCTGATCTAAGTATCAAAGCCACTCACAAGACAAGTAAGACATTACTTCTGAAAGTTAACTAAGCATCAGGCACATATGGTGATAGTGGTTTCATGGTTATAGTGCTGCACTTATAAATGGCATTTTGATTTTTTAGTTGCTCCTCTGCCACCGTAAATATCTCTCTTTCTACTTTTTATGTAATGTTAGGTAAAGATTAGAAGTGCAGGCTGAAGGAGGGATGAGAGGACACATTCATCTTTTCATCTAAGGTTTGCTGAGAAATTAAGAACTAGGAAAGGTATGCCTTGTCAAAGATGAAAAAGGAAAGGATGAAGTGTCTTACCTAGTGCTTCACAAAGAATGTTCCCAGGATACCCTGCACAATACTCACCTGAGCTGTTAAGACTGGAAATTCTCTCTGGTCCCTAGCTTTGATCCCACCTGCCAACCCATTGTTCTTACCCACCAATACTTCTCATACCCCTTTAGACAAGTGATATGGGAAAAAAGGTTCAGCAAATTTTTTAATTGATGGTAGAGAGAAAGGAAGAGAAATGTCAATGATGAGAGAATCATTAATCAGCTGCCTCCTGCTTACCCCTACTGGGACTGAGTCTGCAACCTGAGCATGTGCCCTGACCAGGAATTGAACTGTGACATCCTGGTTCATAAGTCAACATTCAACCACGGCGCCATGCCAACTGGGCAAAACTCAACAAATTGAATAGAAAGTGCATATAATGTACATATCTTTACCTCCCTCCTTATCTAGCTTGGTAACATTGAAATTCATTGTTCTGGCTCCCACTCTTAACTGAATTCCAAATGTGTGGAGTTAACTGCCACTCCCCAACTTCTCCACTTGATATCCAACAGTAACCCTACAATGAGCATGTCCAAGACTGAAATCACCTACACTTGTTCTTCCCTCAGTCTTCCTGATCTCATGTGGTGACAACACATCCTTCCGGTTGCTCAGGCCAAAACGGCCAAGTTATCCTTGGCTCTTCTTTTTCTCTCAGTAATTCATCAGCAAATCCTATTGTTCAACTGCTAAAATACATCCAGGATCCAACCACTTCTCTTTCTACACTACTATCACCCTGCCCCCAAATGCCACCATAATCTCTCCCTGGATTACAGTAATAGCCTCCTGACTGGTATCCCTGCTCCGTCCTTCCTCACTGCCCCCCCCCCCCCCAATAATTTAGCACCCACAAGGCACATAGAGTGATCCTTTAAAAATGCCTCTTGCAGTCCAGCTGCATGGCTTAGTGGCTGAACGTTGACCTATAAACCAAAAGGCCACGGTTTGATTCCTGGTCAGGGCATATGCTCAGGTTGTGGGTTTGATCTTCAGTGGGGGGGGCGGGGAGGGGGGGTGCAGGAAGCAGCTGATCAATGATTCTCATCACTAATGTTTCTCTTTCCCTCTCCCCCTCTGAAATAATATATATTTATAGATTATTATTATTATTTCACACGCATATATATTACAATGCCTCCTGTGCTTACAACCCTCCATTTGCTCCCATCTCAGGGAAAAAGCCAAGCCTAGGTTGGAGTTTATGATGCCCCCTTAACGTGGCCTCCACCTCCTCTGCCCACAGTGCTGACCCTACTTCCTCCAGCTCAATCTGTTCCAACCTTGCTGGCCTCCTTGCTGTTCCTTGTAACACAAGACCTGCCCCTCTTCTGGGTCCTGGCACCCAGGCACTCCCTTCAGACAGCTGCATGGCTCATTTACTTCAGATCTCTGTTCAAATGTTACCCCCAATGAGGCCTTCCCTGTCGACTCCTTATAAAATTGCACATCCCATCACTTTCAAACCCATTGGGAAAAAATCCATTGCCTGATATATTATATATACACTGAGTGGCCAAACTATTATGACCACCCCATAGTACTTCATTGGGCCACCTTTTGCCTTCAATACTACGGCAATTCTTCCTGGCATTGACTCCACAAGATGTTGAAAGGTGATGTGTGGAATCTGACACCATGCCTGATGAATAGCACTGTCCAGTTCTGTGAGATTTAACAGTTGTGGAACCAGATGCCTGAAGGATCTTTTATCTTTGTTCCACAAATGCTCAATTGGATTGAGATCTGGTGATTGTGGGGGCCACCTAAGCAAGGTCTCCCTCATGTTGTTGAAACCACTCCTGCACAATACAAGCACCGTGGCATGGCGCATTGTCTTGTTGGAAGAAGCCATCTCCACTGGGATACGCCATCAACATGATAGGATGAACTTGATCAGCAATGATACTTAGGTATGTTGTGATACTCAGACGTTGTTCCACACAAATTATTATAAAGGGCCCAAATCATACCAGGAAAACATGCCCCAAACCATAACACTGCCCCCACCAGCTTGAAGGGTTGTACTCATGCATATGGGGTGCATGCTTTCCTGCTGTTTCCTTGAAATTCTCACTCTGCCATCTGCATGATACAACTGGAAACGTGATTCATCAGACTACATGACTTTTCCAATGCTCAACTGTCCAATCCTTGTGTTCCTGTGTGAATTGGAGATGTTTTATCTTGGTAACTGCAGACAGCAAAGGTGTTTGAACAGGCTTTCCATATCCCATATGATGCAGTGTATGGCTAATTTGCCTACAAACATCAGATGATCATAATAATCTGGCCACTCAGTGTATATTTATTAGAGGCCTGGTGCATGGATTCGTACATTTTGGGGTCCCTCGGCCTGGCCTACGCCCTCTTGAAATCTGAGACTCCTCAGGGATGTTGGAGAGCTGGTGTCAGCCTGATACCTGCAGGTCTAGGTACCCTACCCATGCATGAATTTTGTGCATTGGGCCTCTAGTGTTTGATAAAAAAAAAGTCAGATATTTGTTGGTGGAGGAAGGTCTCAAACCAAAAAGCAGAAAAGTCTGATGAGACCAGAGAAGATATTCTTCCATTTATTATCAGAAAAGTAGCAACAGCATGTCCCAAATTTCACTATGAGTTATGATAAAAGCTAAAGTGCATTGTGAAATGAATCATCAACACATTAAATGGAAAATATTATTTCAAAATGTATGATTTTTAAGAACAAGGACGGAAATAAACTAGGCATAGAAAAAGATAAAATTTATAAAAATCCTGTAACTTGAGGTTGAAAATATAGTGATTTCCTCCTACTCTTCCTAAATAATTATTTCTCAGCATTTTTTATGAGAAAGTATTTTTATACTAGTAAATAAGTTATACTTATTTATAAAATAAAGACTATTTCAGAAAAATGATGTAGAATATTTTAAGATTTAAAAACACTTTCCAGGAAGAGAAAAAGGTAAAGTGTAGGAGTACTATATACCTGTGTTTTTTTAAAGTCCATTACCATTACTTAAATTTGTACAATAAGTACTTCTTTTTAAAATCCTTTACCATTACTTAAATTTGTAAGTACTTCAAAAAAGTTTTAAAATTTTTTGACTTATACAGCAATTAAGTTTCAATACTAGTTAATTTTTTACTTTAGATCAGCAAAGTTGAAGATGTACACACTCCTTTAAAATAAGCTTTTAATAGAAAAAATATAAATACAAAGTAAAGAAGAATGTGTTATAAATTTGAACTGCAAATATCCACAGAAACTCAAATAATTACAAAAGCTCTTACTGGAAATTTTTTTTACAGAGAGGAAGGGAGAGGGATAGAGATTTAGAAACATCAATCAGCTGCTTCCTGCACACCCATAACTGGGGATGTGCCCGCAACCAAGGTACATGCCCTTGGCTGGAATCGAACCTGGGACCTTTCAGTCCGCAGGCCGATGCTCTATCCACTGAGCCAAACCAGTTTACAAAAGCTCTTATTAGGAAAAGTTTGAAACGTTTACAGAAAGAATAATAAGACGTAAGCACCCATCACTAGTATGTGGCCAAGCTTGTTTCATCTCTACCCTCAATTATTCCTGCCCTCACCCATCCATGAACTATTTCAAAGTAAATCTTATCTCATCAGTACATACGAAGAGGTAAG